ATCCGATGCCAGGGACGAACACAGATTCGAAGCAGAAGGGGGAGCGAAACGATGCCACAGGCGAGAGCATGTTCGATGCCAGAGTCGCGCGCGACCCCTCCCGCAGAAGCTCCCTGGAGCCGAGGGCTGCGAACGATCACGGCCAATCTCAATGGGACGCAGAACGCATACTAGTACGATGCGCCCCTCATGGATGCGCACGTCCGAAGCGAACACATAGTTCAAGCATGTCATGGCATATCGCTGCCGAGGCGTCACGGCCAGGCAGCGCCCGCCACCGAGCAAGTGCACTACAAGATCTCTCGGCGCGCGCGTCGCCCCTGCAGGGCGTCGACGCGAACACAACATCAATATCAACATGCGTGGGCGAGGCCGACTCGAAACCGCCACTTCCGTTTTTTCTCAAGCGGACAGCAGGCTTATAGGACCACCAGGGGCCTCCCTCCATGCACGTGCGCAGGGGACGAACAGGGCGGACTGGCTCAGGAACCAGGGCTGGGCCTAAACGTTGTTTATCGCTTTGTGTTCGTTTTGCGCTTCGTTTTGCTCTACCTGTTTTCCTGCACCTCCCTCCCACAACGAAAAGCACAACACAACCGAAGTCCAGCAAAACAGCGTTTAGGTTCAGCCCTGTCAGGAGCATCGCCGACAGGTCGGCGACACTGAGGCCCCCCCGGAGCGGAACCACCCCCCCGGGCATGGTGGGGCACTCCAGGCGCTGATCAGCGATATCCGTCGGAGGCAGGGCGAGCTGAGCATCTACTAGAGAAGCAAAAACGACACTGACATGAACTCTCGGAGCTCGTGGGGATCTCCTGGAATCGGCCCCAGACATGGCCGCGTTGGAAAAAAAAACAGGACGGGAGATTTTTGGCCATTTCCGGCCACGGGGCCCTGGGGCTCTCGCCGGGCCTTGGGACCGTCAAAAAACGGCTCAGGATGAAAAACCGCTCAGGACGAAACACCGGTCCCAGGGAAAGGGTCGGGACTTCCTGGGACGCCTTCCTGAAAAAATCAGGACGTCGCATGTCTGGGGCGCCAGGCCCCCCCTCCCTGGCGCGCGGAACTCCGAAAGTTTATGTTCATGCCGGTTTCTCTTCGGGAGACAATCGCAACTCAAAATCGGCAACGACGGCTCACCCCTGGGCCGCCGAAGAGGCCGCCTCTTCCCGCGCCGCTCGGCGTTTTAGGCTGCAACCCATGGGAGCATCCCATGTCACCCGCTGGCTCTCGCGAACCGACGCTCACCGACGCTCGCCTGCGCTGGCCGACGCCAGCCGGCGCTGCATCGACGCGGATCCGGCGCCACCTCTCGGCGCAAACCGTGCGCGAAACGACGCCCACGCACTCTCGAACGCTGGCCCCGCGAGGGCACACTTTTAACGGCCGAAGAACGGCATAAAAAAAACTTGTTCGCTGACGGGGGCGACTGTCCCAGGGCGGCTGGAAAGTTTATACCCTTACGGTGGCACCGTAGGGGTATAAACTTTCCAGCCGCCCAGGGACAGGCGCCCCCGACAGCGAAAACGCTTATTTTCATACCGTCCTTCGCTCGCTAAACACCGGGCTCCCATGGCCTGCTGCCGCTCGAGCGCCGCTCGGCGCCGCGCGGCGACGCCGGCGGGCGCACCGCACACGATCGCCCGCAGGGCGCCCGGCGGCTCACCTGCGCCCGCGCCTGCCGCCCCGCTCGCGCCGGCCGCCCCGCTCCGCGCCCCGCTCCGCGCCCCGCTCCGCGCCGCGCTCCGCGCCGCGCTCCGCGCCGCGCCGCCCCGGCGCCCTGCCGGCCTCCTCGGCGGCCTCCTCGGACCCGTACTCGTACTCCGACTCCGCCGCGCGCTCCCGCCGGCCGGCCCCCCCCCGCCGCGCCGGCGCTTCGCGGGCCGCTCCTCCGCCGCGGCCCGCGGCTCCTCCGCCTCGCGCCCCCCGCCGCCGCGGCGCCTGCCGTGCCTGCCCTCCGCGGGGGCCTCTGCGCCGCGGCCCCGCTCCCGGCGCCGGGCGGCGCCGTCCTCGGGCGGCCCCTGCGGCGCCTCCGCGTCCTCGGCCGCCCGGTCCCGGCGCCTGGCGGCTCGGTCGTCCGCCGGCGGGCCCGCCGCCGGCTCCTCCTCGTCGGGCAGCTTCTGGCCGGTGAGGCTCTCCAGCCGCTTCCTGGCGGCCTCGAGCTCGCCCTGCTCCTTCTTCAGGGAGGCCTCGGCCTCCTCCTTCTCGGCGCGCCACTCCTCCAGCTCGTTCCGCTTCCCCTCCTCGCGCTCGGTCTCCTTCCGGACCCTGTCCACTTCAGCCTCGACCGCCTCCGCCAGCTTCTTCTCCTCCTCTTCGATCTTTGAGGCGCTCTCCGCCGAGAGGCGAGCCTTCTCGTCTTGGATCTTCTGATCGAACTCTGCCCTCACCTCGGCGAGGCGCTCATGCAGCCGCTTCCTCAGGGACAACTCCGCGTCTCCCACAGCAATCTCCAGCCTGTCCTCGGCCGCCTTCCTCACCGCCATCACGTCCTGCTCCAACTTGGCCTGCGCGGCCGACTCGGCCTCCGCCACCCTGCGCTGCACCGCCTTGGCCACCGCCTTCTCGGCACTCCTCAGCGCCTGCGCCGCCTTCGTGGCGTCCTCCCGCGCCTCGCGGACCACCTCCCGGGCCTCGCCGAGCGCCTCCTTGGCGGCGCGCGTGGCCTCGCCCTTGCTCGGCATCCCCGCCGGCCGCGACCCGGAGCGCTCCGCGCGCTGCCCGCGCGGCTCCCTGCGCCTCCGCCTGCGGCCGCCGCCCTCCCGCGGCCCCGTCGGCGAGCCGTCCCGCGAGTCCTCCCAGGAGGAGCAGGGGGAGGAGGAGTAGGAGTAGGAGGAGGAGGAGGAGGAGGAGGAGAAGGAGGAGGAGGACAAACGGATGGGGAGGAGGAGGAGGAGGAGGAGGAGGAGGAGGAGGAGGAGGAGGATGGGAGGAAAGGGAGTTAAGGGAGGAGGAGGGAGGAGGAGGAGGAGGTGAGGAGGGGCAGGAGTAAAGAGAGAGGAGGAGGAGGAGGGAGGAGGAGGGAGGAGGAGGAGGAGGAGAGGAAAGGGAGTTAGAGGAGGAGGTGAGGAGGAGGAGGAGGCGGAGGAGAGGAGGAGGAGGGGGAGGGAGGAGGAGAGAGGGAGGAGGGAGGAGAGGAGGAGGGAGGAGGAGGAGGCGGAGGAGGAGGAGGAGGCGAGGAGGAGGAGGGAGGAGGAGAGGAAGGAGGAGGAAAGGAGAAGAGAAAGGAGGGGAGGAGGTCCCCCGGGCGCCGTTGCCGCCGGCCGCCGCGCCCTCGCCGCTCGCCCTCGCGCGGCTCCTCGCGCCCCTCGCGGCCCCGCGGCGCCGCCGCGCCGCGCGCCCTCGCGCCCTCGCCGCGCCGGCCGCGCCGGCCGCCCTCGCCGCGCCGGCCGCCCTCCTCGCCGCGCCGGCCCCGAGGCCTCGCCGCGTCCGCCGCCCGCGCCGCGCCGGCGCGCGGCGGCGTGCGCGAGCGGCTATAGTCGCTGTAGTCCTCCTCGGAGCCCTCGCCGGCCGCAGCCTTCGCCGCCGCCGCGCGGGGATCCTCGCCTCCTCGGCGGTCGCCGCGCGCGTCCGGCCGAGTCTCCTTGTCCTGCGGCTCCCGCGGCGGGTCTCTGGCGCCGCCGCCGGCCTCGTCGCTCTGCTTGCCGTTCTTCGGCGGCTCCCCCTCCCGCTTGGCCTCGCCCTCCGGCGCGCCCTTGCCGTCCGTGCCGCTGTCCTTGGCGCCCTCCTCCCTCTTGGCCTTCGCGTCGGCCTCCGCCGCCTGCTTCTTCTCGTCCACGACGTCCTCGTCACCGTCGTCTTCCACGTCAACGGTTTCTCCCATGGTGTCAGGAGCACGCCGCCGCAAGGCCGATGGCCTGCACACGCGACCTTGGTTTTGTTGGCGTGGACCTGTCCGCCGGCCGCGGGGGTTGCGTGCGAGTGTCCGCTGCGACGCCGGAGCCAGGCTTGACCCAAGGGCTCCGAACTCGCTTGCTCAGACTTGCTCTGCCTCCCGCTGCTGACATCAGACATCAACATGCCTCTCTGGGCCAAGCCGCTCCCAGCGGGCGTGGCGACCCAAGGGCCGTGACAAAAGTCCGTCTGCCCCCGCGGGAAGCCCAGAACCCCGACGTCGTGACTTCTTCACAACGTCGACCCCCAAAGGTCTGGACCCTTTCCCGGGGACCGGTTTTTCATCCTGAGTCGTTTTTGTTGACGGCCCCGAGGCCCAGGATGGGCTCCCCCGAGGCCGAAAATAGCTAAAACCGGTTCGGCGCAACTTTTTCAGGACGCGAGGAGGTCTGGGCATACAACCGCGCCCACTGGATTGGAATGCGGGAAGTCCTGTGGCGGAGAAGGGCTCTATTTTGGACGCCCGAAATGTGTACGGAAAGACTGGGTACAATGCCCAACACCAAATGTTGTCCCAATCCAACAGCGGCCGCTGTTGGGCAGGCGGCCTTCTGTCTCGAACGGACACAGGCCGCGGCGGCGTGGACAGCGAGTCCTGTCCAAAATGAACAGGAACTGCTGTTGGGCATCGTACCCACTCTTTCCGTACCCATTTCGTTCGTGGATCTATAGACCCAAAAGGCTCCCGCCCGGGCCCGGTTTCCACCCCGGGTGGCCCGGGGAGGGCCTGGAGAGGGCCGGGGAGGGCCCCATAGAGGCCTGCAAGGGCGGCGAAAAAAAGCTCGAGGGGGGGGGGGGGTCTACGAGGGCTGCGTCCAGGGGTGGGGTTCGCAGCCCATGGCCCGAGGCACGCGCGCGGCCCATGGGGGGGCAAGGCGACGCATTGAAATAAGACGAGGGGCCAATGAGATCTGAGGAGAGGCATCATGACCTCCGCCCTGGTATCTTCCCCTAGCCATCACTCCCCCCCCTAGCCATGATCACCCTCTTGGACGCCCCTGTAAAACTCCAGGAACCGCTTCCTCCATTTCGAGCTGGAGCTTCCCTGGACGTCTCTGGGGGCCCCCGAAGGCCTCGTGACTCCGCTGCAAGCCCCGCCATGTTTTCCTGGGCGAGAAATGCGGAACACGCATGGTCTGTAACCTCCGCGTTCGCAACTCAATACCTACAACTGTATAGACAATGCGCGGTTACAAGAAGCTCCGGACGTCGTCCACCTGCAACAGCAGGCTCTGTGCGCCGGTACACGCGAGCGCATATGTTTTGAACTGAACGCAACATTGCTCGATTGGTTTAGTGACGTTGAAGGACATCATAATTTGAAACCAGCCGAACATATGATGGTCGAACGTTGTCAGGCCGATGCGTGGTCTGGACGGCAACCAACCTCCGGGAGGGGCCAAGGGGTTGCGTTGTCCGGCTTGCAAACCGAATTGCCAGAATCGTTTTCCAAAATACCGACACTCGTTCTCCACATATTGTAAGTAGATTCAATTTCGAGAGCAAGTCAGGAGAGAATATCCCAGATAATACAAAGGAACCGTTCACGAAACTCCAGAAGATATGAGCAATCAAAAGCTGTCGTGCAAATGGTGTGGATCTCTTCTTCGTTGGCAATGTGTAGCCTATGACAGCAATCAATGTGCTCAAAAATACCGTCAATGTATAGAACAGCTGTTGCTGTTTGTTCAAGTCGTTAGCGGTGGCTTGCTGCCCAAAGCGCCAAACCATACACATGCAAATCTGGCTGACAATGACAGTTGGCAAAAAGACGGCAGCAAAATAATTATCCTGGCGAAGGACCCAACCAGATGCAGTTGCGAGTACCGCAATTGTGAGTATCTTCTTCGATGGCGCTGTAGGGGTGTGCGGAAATCTGTGCGGTGGCCACGAAACGTGTGAGGGGTGTGCCGAAATCTGTGCGGTGGGCGCATGGGGGCGCAACCACTGGGGCCTTCGCTGGAGCTCCCTATGGGGCCACGAAGCATATGAGGGGTGTGCCGAAATGGGTGCGGTGGGCGCATGGGAGCGCAGCCACTGGGGCCTTCGCTGGAGCTCCCTATGGGGCCACGAAACGTGTGAGGGGTGTGCCGAAATGGGCGCGGTGGGCGCTTGGGAGCGCAGCCACTGGGGCCTTCGCTGGAGCTCCCTATGGGGCCACGAAACGTGTGAGGGGTGTGCCGAAGTGGGCGCGGTGGGCGCATCGGAGCGCAGCCACTGGGGCCTTCGCTGGAGTTCCCTATGGGGCCACGAAACGTGTGAGGGGTGTGCAGAAATGGGTGCGGTGGGCGCATGGGAGCGCAGCCACTGGGGCCTTCGCTGGAGCTCCCTATGGGGCCACGAAACGTGTGAGGGGTGTGCCGAAATGGGTGCGGTGGGCGCATGGGGCGCAGCCACTGGGGCCTTCGCTGGAGCTCCCTATGGGGCCACGAAACGTGTGAGGGGTGTGCAGAAATGGGTGCGGTGGGCGCATGGGAGCGCAGCCACTGGGGCCTTCGGTGGAGCTCCCTATGGGGCCACGAAACGTGTGAGGGGTGTGCCGAAATGGGTGCGGTGGGCGCATGGGAGCGCAGCCACTGGGGCCTTCGCTGGAGCTCCCTATGGGGCCACGAAACGTGTGAGGGGTGTGCCGAAATGGGCGGTGGGCGCATGGGAGCGCAGCCACTGGGGCCTTCGCTGGAGCTCCCTATGGGGCCACGAAACGTGTGAGGGGTGTGCAGAAATGGGTGCGGTGGGCGCATGGGAGCGCAGCCACTGGGGCCTTCGCTGGAGCTCCCTATGGGGCCACGAAACGTGTGAGGGGTGTGCCGAAATCTGTGCGGTGGGCGCATGGGAGCGCAGCCACTGGGGCCTTCGCTGGAGCTCCCTGTGAGGCCACGAAACGTATGAGGGGTGTGCCGGAATGGGTGCGGTGGGCGCATGGGAGCGCAGCCGCTGGGGCCTTCGCTGGAGCTCCCTATGGGGCCACGAAGCGTGTGAGGGGTGTGCCGAAATGGGTGCGGTGGGCGCATGGGAGCGCAGCCACATGATGATGATGATGATGATGATGATGATGATGATGATGGTGATGATGATGATGATGATGCTGGTGATGATGATGATGATGATGATGATGATGACGGCAGGAGGGAGGGGGCAGCGGGAGGAGGAGTGAACGCGGGGCGCTGTCTCTTCAAACCGAGGACCCAACACCACAGGATGGTTGGGAATAAGATAATGACTCACTGTGAGATTGCGCTCGGTCATTCACATCTCGAACATCTATGATAAGGATCAATGCCGAAAGCGACATACCAATGTAGCACGCATTCGGAATGTTGTAAGATAATGACAGCACCATCGCTCGGTTATCTATATTGTTCACGCCTGGACAATCAAGCCTGCGAGCGATACCCAAGGCGGACAGGATTGTTACACACACACACATGGGTTGATGTACTACCTTTGCGACCAGGTGGCGCCCGCTGCAAGGATAACAGGGCTGAGCATCCCACCAAGAGGTACATGAAGAATGTCGTAGCATCGACAAAGCGAGCGATTGTACATCGGTTCAGCTGTGCGCCGAGGAGACTGCAATTGTATTCCCCCCACAGTTTCAAATTACCTCGCCCCCCCAAAAAATTGTGCACGATTGCCAATGCAGTCCGTCCAGAAGCACGACTTGTCTGGACATTTGCGTCCGGCCGAGCATACGGTATCCATGCGTAGGCCAAGGTGGTTGAAGCACATGTAAGATATCATTGCCAACTAACATCCAGACACAAGCCCGAGCAAGGCACAAAGGACCTGACAGGTTCCCTTCGACACGCACTGGGGTGTTTGATCGCACTCACGTCGACGACGAATACACCCTGTACGCTCCTTGGCTGTCTCGATTTGCTGTTTAATCCTCGACGCAGTAATCTTTTTATCGTCGACTTGATTTGCATCCCTCAGGAGCTTGCTCAATGGAGAATCGTCGTCTCCATCGGGATAATGATAGAAATCATGCATCAAAGCTTGAAACACTTGCATTCCCGATCGGTCATCATCGGAAGGACGTTGTCTGGTCCGCGTGTAAACGAGCGCCTCGACTTCAAAACCTTTAAACTCTGGGAACAAGCGCTTCAAGATGTTGACAGCGTTGCACGTTCCTGGATAATTCTCAGAATGTTTGGTCCACAACTCATCACGTTCGGCCCTGGACGTAGACCCTTCTACCGAAGGAAATGGGACCCTATCAAATGTGAAGTTGCCTTCTGTGGGCACGATTTCCAATCGATTTCGATCAACTTATGAATACGTATTGCTTTACTGCCTCTTTCCACGTGACACGAAGCAAACTGTTCACGTAAACGATTGTAGAAATCCCTCCACTCCTCGTCGGTTACCCATCCAAGGCCTGTAGAAAGACTGTAGTCCATGTCACTCTGCTCGCCATGCTCCTTCAAAATGTTAGTCCCACGTCGGCTTGAACCGATCAGGTCGAGAGTTGGCGTACCATCCCAAACCTGTCGCGCAACATTTTCGATCTGCAACTCCACTTCTCGAACACCCGCAATCTCTACTGTCTGGGAGATGTCATCGGCCAACTTAATAAATCGCGCCCGGTTGCCCCATGCGTGGATCACGCGGGCTACAAACTTTTCGTCGCAATCCGAATCCGAACTCTGACAATCATGTCGACGCATTTCGCAACGTCTTGCACTGCTCGTCGCTGCCACGATGACACAACCGACAACGCACAACTGAACTGCCGTTTCAGCTTCAACTGCTCAGAACTAGATAATACGGAAATATCAGCTCGAAAAAGCATACACGATCCCCCTTTGAGCCCAGGGGTCAATTCTCCAGCCGCAGTGGTCTTGAGCCCACGCTTGAGCCAAGATGGCTACGGACCCGTTGTAAGCCTGGCCTTGGGGGGTCGTCCGCCCGTCGCCCGCGGGGGCTCGCAAGCAGTGGCTCTGCATCCCCCTCCCCTTTTGTAGAGGCCTCCCAGATTGGGTCAGAGTACAGTCGGGGCCTTGACCTAAGGAACCCTAAATAAGGAACGAGGCGCCTTTTTCCCATAAGTTAAACTTCGATTTCCCATCGAAAGCCTACGCAAATCCAAAGGCGAACTGCAAAACAACTAAGGAACACCGAGCCCCTCCCCAACGAAAAGGGTTCCTTCCTCAGCGCCCCGACTGTAGATGGGGTCGGAGGATCTCGCCGCATCGGCGATGCATCGGCGACGTCGGCGACGCACCAGCGCGTCCTCGTGGAGAAGATCGGGCTCCACATCGAGCCGCAGCTGCGATGAATCGGCGATGTGGCGCGATCCTCCGACCCCATCTACTCTGTGTGGGGCCAAATTTGATGCTGGCCCGCTGGGATCCGCTGAGAGGCGCCGGTCGGCTTCCAGAAACCTCCGGAGGCTCCCTGGAGGGGTTCGAGTCGTGCCGACTTCGGCGTTGGTTTCTAACACCGTGGGGATCGTTCAACCTTGAACGATCGACCGTTTCCGAAACGTCAGATTGTTCAACATCGACTGAATCTGGGTCGCCGGCGGCGTTCCACGTTGAACGCCTGCGGCGGGGTCGCCCCTGGTCGACACGACGCAAACCTCTTTCTTCAGACGCTCTCATCTCGCGAAGAGGAGGACGTTGGCCCTCTGCAAGGTACAGCCACTTGTCATCTCATTCAAACACTGGCGACCATGAATGCACCTTGAATCACATGGCACGGGCGTCCCGTGAGCAAGGGAGTGCCTCATGCAATGCGAGTTCCCGTTCTACGGGTTCAAGTCCGCATGCATCAGGGTTAGTGTCATTTGCATTTCAATGCCGCCGCTCCTCGGGGGAAACCAATATGTCACCATGGAGCTTGGCTTGTTCACGCCTCCCGCAGGGTAAGGAAGAGGAGGAGGAGGACCATGGAGAAGTGTGCGGCGTCGGATGTTGGGGGGTGAGAGCTACCCCAACGGGTGCATCGATTTCGGCTTCGGCTCGTGTCGCACGTGCGTGTGCTGTGTGCCGCAATATGCTCACATGCTGCTCTTCTTGCGGCAACTCGCCTGGACACCGTTTCTGAACGTGCGGACGCGCGGAAGATCCAGAATTCGGGCGCTTTGGTGATGCCACCTGTTCGTCGTTTTGGCTTCCAGTGTCCCCTGAGGCCTGAAGATGGCCCTGAGATGCGCCAGAGGGCCCTGAGAGGGGCCCAAGAGTGCTCCGAAAGGTGCCCGAAGGCATCCTAATGAGGGCATCTGGGAATGCCCTCTGCGGGCTCCAAAGATGGGTGGGTTGGGGTGGGGGGGCAATCAAGAGCATCCCCCTTTGAAACTGCCATAGTGACCACCACGATCTGTTTCAACCAGTTCCACATTGAAGTCAAGAGGGCGTCGTCGGGTTGGCCGACAGTCCATGAATTTGGCGCGCTTCCTCCTGGATAACGGCCCCGAGCCAGTGCCAGAAACTGAATTCAGAACGATCTGCTCAGGATGCTCCAAGACCAGGGGCGGGATTGCAGCACCATTTCCCCGCCTCGGCAGTCATCATCATCATCATCATCGTCATCATCATCATCACCATCATCATCATCATCATCATCATCATCATCATCATCATCATCATCATCATCATCCTCATCCTCATCCTCATCCTCATCCTCATCCTCATCCTCATCCTCATCCTCATCCTCATCCTCATCCTCATCCTCATCCTCCTCCTCCTCCCTCCTCCTCCTCCTCGTCCTCGTCCTCGTCCTCGTCCCCTCCTCATCCTCATCTCATCCTCATCCTCATCCTCATCCTCCTCCTCCTCCATCATCATCATCATCATCATCATCATCATCATCATCATCATCATCATCATCATCATCATCATCATCATCATCATCATCATCATTATTTCCATCAGAGGCCCCAACAAAGGGCCATGCTAGCAGCACGCTGCGAACCGCACACCAGCGTGTTGAGTCTGGGAAGAAGTTCTTGGATGACGGCGCCGAGCCAACCCACAGCGGGGGCGGGGCAATGGCGGGGGCAGCGTAACCTGCTTCGACAGCCTCCCCCCCGCGCGCGCGCTGGGGCAGACAGCCTCGAAGACCCCGACCGAGGCTTCTCGGAAGCGGGCCGACTGTGACAACGGCGGCTTTCCCTCCCGGCACGTATGCGCAAAATCAGTCCCGGGACCCCTCCCAGCGTCCACCCCTGGGTATAGGGACGCGTGTCGAGCACAGCTTGGAGTGCGACGTGGAACATGACAACTTGTCAAGCGCAAGGGCGTGGATACACGTAACGATGCTCAGCAAGGAGTTTCAAGTGACAGGGCTTTCACGACTCCAGCGAAGGCAATCAGGGGCTTCGACCCGCTCGGCTTTGAGGAGGTACTCGACATGGCCATCTCCACAGGCATGCTCAAGGGAGCCTAGCCGAGCACGCAGTGGTGCGATCAGCACACGCCCGAACCTGATGTGCTCAACGCCGGCGCCTTCTTGCGAGAGCGGCCCTGCTTCTCCTAGAGGCCTGGCGCGTAATCGATGGTAAGAGCGTCGAGAAGCTCACCACTTCAAGCTCCCAGCAGCCACGCGAGACCTCTGCGTCTGAGTGGCGCGCGCGCGGGGGAAGCGCGAGGGGCGCCCTCGGGGGCGGCGGGTGACCGAGGAGACGCCCTTCAGCGAGCTGTGCCTCGCTGGGGCCGTGGGTCGATTCTGCCCCGCTGCTCAGCACCCCTCCCGCCCCACCCCAGGGAGGGCCGCAAGCGCCTGCTCGCACAGCCGAGGCGAGGGGCCCCGCGAGACGGGCAGCTAGGGGAACAAAAAGTGGCATAAGCATAAAAACTCTGAGGTTCACGCGGACTTATCGGATCGGCGCTGGGGCCCCCCTGAGGCGCCTTCGGCGCCGCCCCTGGCGCGATCCGCGCGCCAGGGAGGGGGGTCCAGCGCCGATCCGAGAAATCCGCGCGGACCTCCGAGTTTTTCCCTACCTAGGCTCTGCCTAGAAGGGTTCTTACTCGGTATGCTTAAAGGGCCGGGCAGTGGAACACGCCCCGGGCGGTTCCCCCAGGATCCGCCCCGCGGTTCCCCAGTTGCGCCCCCTGGGTTCACCCAGCTTAGCTTAGCTAAGCTAAGCTAAGCTTAGCTTAGCTTGTCTCATCTTAGCTTAGCTTAGCTTAGCTTTGCCTAGCCTAGCTTAGCTTAGCTTCGCTTCGCTTCGCTTCGCTTCGCTTAGCTTAGCTTGGCTTGGATTGGCTTGGCTTGGCTTGGCTTGGCTTAGCTTAGCCTAGCCTAGCTCAGCTCAGCTTAACTTAGCTTAGCTTGTCTTAGCTTAGCTTTAGCTTAGCTTTAGCTTAGCTTCAGCTTAGCTTTAGCTTAGCTGCAGCTTAGCTTTAGCTTAGCTTCAGCTTAGCCTTAGCTTAGCTTTAGCTTTAGCGTAGCTTTAGCTTAGCTTTAGCTTAGCCTTAGCTTAGCTTTAGCTTAGCTGTACTGTTACTACTATAGCTGCTTTCCTAGGGGCTCCAACTCCTAGGTAAGGCCGCACTGGGATAATTATGTTTATGTGACTTTTTGTTCCCCTAGCAGCGCCGATCCGACCGTACTCGCCGCCCCGCGGCGGGGTTGGCGGCGTGGCCGCGGCCGCGAGCGCGACGACCGCGAGCCACGGGCCCCCAGGCGGCTGCGGAGCCCGCGCGGCGGGAAAGGCCCGACGGGGTGCGGCACGAGCTCGCGCAGGCGCCCCCCTTGAGCAGGGACCAACCGTCCCGGCATTCCTATAGTTCTACCACGAGATGTTCTTAGAACCCACAAATGTTCTAAGAACAAAAACAATGGTCTCAGAACATCAACCCAGTGTGATAAAGCAAGACAATCTCCACCAAGCATGTTCTAAGAACATCCCGTGAAAACCACACAAAGGTTCTTAGGACATTGCTTGGCAGGGCTGCAGGCGAGCCAAGACGCTTCGCCACTGCTTTTCGGACGCCCGCAATGGGTACGGAAAGAATGGGTACAATGCCCAACAACAAATGTTGTCCCAAACCAACAGCGGCCGCTGTTGGGCGGGCGGCCTGCTGTCTCAAATGGACACAGGCCGCGGCGGCGCGGACAGCGAGTCCTGTTCAAAATGAGCAGGAACTGCTGTTGGGCATCGTACCCATTCTTTCCGTGCCCATCGTGGCGTGGCCTGCTCGTGCGCCGCGCGTACCCCGCGCGGAAGGCGACGGGCGCACCGAGCCGGGCCCCCCCGCGCGGCCCCGCGGGCCGAAAAGGGTCCCATCCCCGCGGCCGCACAGGGCCCGCTTCGTCGTCCTCTCCATGCTCCTTGCCGCCCACCCTTCCCGTTGGCCTGGCTCCGAGCGACGGGGCTCGCGGCGCAGGAGGCGCCGAACGGCGAGAACCTATACCTCGATACGACGCGCGTGCGAGAACATCAGCTCGAACTCCCACCACCTTGGCAGACTGAGCAGGAAAAGCTACGACCCACCTCCTCCTCCTCCTTATTCTCATCCTTTCGCTTCGCCGTTTCTGTCCGCATCTGCGCACGCAAAAAATTATGGACGACACGCGATCACACATCTGGACTATCCTGTCCACGCCCATGCGCAGGTGGGCGAGAAGAGGGAGCTGTCAAAACCTGGGAGTGCGAGCCAATCGGTCGCAGCCAGCTGGGGCGAATGGGCTAAACGCAACTTGCCTGCACAGACGCCACTGAATAACCGTGTGTCCAGCATGGAGGGGAGGGATTGTGCGAGACAGAAAAGCATAATATCCGCCACTTCGCTAGCAGCGATGTGTGTGTGGGTGCGTCAGGCAGTCAGGGTGCCGACGCATCGTTCCCAGTACCTGTTCGCTGTGTGGACCAAGCTCCTACCATTGCCCACTGCTGCTCTCCAGAAAAGAAGATGGTGCTCAT